TCTGGGATACCAAACTTTATCACCTTGTAGTCCTAACCACACACACTTAGACGTTGCGCATCAACAGTCGTCTATTCGAAAAATAGTTTGTAAACATTTTTATTTCCACATTCGTAAGTCGTAACCGTCTTTTTCTGTAGATAAAAAAAATCTACGTTAATGAAACATCATGGCTAGTTTTAATAGACAATTAGGTAAATAAAGTCACACAACCACCCAAGGTTTTTTTTTAAAAAAACATCTTATATAATTTTTCTATAATCGTGGTTAATCAAAGGAATTATGGGTCGAAACTCATGTCTTCTGGTTATAATTAAATAATCGAATGCAATCAAGTTTTCGGCGAGGCTCGACTACACGTTCTTTTAGAGGGAGGAGTCTAATTCTCACCACTAGCCCAATGCTCACTTGGTTATGCATATAATTAACTCAATCAAGCTTCTTTAGCAACGATAAATCTTATAAAACTAGTAAGAAGATGTCAAATATGACGTTGTTATAATCACATGCAAAATAAAGTACATATGTAACTGTAAGAGTTTTAATAATTAACGAATCGAGGATGGTTATAAATATGAATGGAGCTAGGAGTCATTATAATATATATGCATGTTAATTTTTGGAGTTAAAGCAATAGTATATAATATAATAGACTAATGGTTGAAAGTTTGGCTTGTTGATTGTGATTAGAAATAGAGTCTCATGATAGCCTCGGGATTTAAATTCTGAATTGATAAACCGCAAATGCACGGTATAATGTGTGTGTACTACTACAGGAGTCAAATCCAAAAGTACTAAATTTGTTACAAACTAGATATGCTGAAACACACTAAGCTAAGAAAAAAACTATAAAGAGATAGTTTTAGGGGGGGGTTTATTGAAGTCTTAATGAATATCAAATCATAAACAAATTAAGAAGACAAAGCAATAGGACATGAAACATGCAACTAAAAGTGGAAAGTTCAAAGAAGCAACAAAGTGGAAATGCAAGTAACAAAGACACCATGCAAGCTAAACAAAGAAAATGGTTATATAAACTCTAGAATCTAGATTAAGAAATTGATCTATCGTCTTAAAAGTAGAAAAAAATAAAAATAAATGTGAGCGTGTGTGAGCCGTGTGAGTCAATGTAAAGGGAGAGGCTCGAATAAGGCCACGAGTGCAAGAGGGAACAAAGAGAAACTAATAATTAGAAGGTTAGGGAGAGACTCAAAAAATGAAAAGAAGAGAAAAGATAGAGAGAGAAGAGAGACCCACAAAACAAAACAAAACACACGAGTAGAGATGCAGCATTACACGACTCCTCCTTTTTCCTACGCACGCAATTTGGAGTTCGTCCTCATATTGGTGGTAGGGACTCTCCTTTAACACTTGCTCTTTCCCTTCTCAGTTTTGGTCGCGGATTCATTTCATAAATCTGTCTCTCGCATTCTCTCTCTTATCCAACTTGTCTTGTCTCTATTTCCAAATCTAAAGAAACAAGCTAGTTTTGGTAGAGACTAGAGATTATATGAAAGATTATCTATCTTATATACAATAACTCTTGATCAAAATTTCGCTATTTGTTCATTTGGTTTGTAAAGTATGATACTCAAAAACCTTAGCAATTATTAATTGTTCATAGTTGTCCACATTTTGGTCAAACTTCGCCATGTATCTACATTGGACCGTCCAACTTATGCATATGAGGTATTTTGGATAATTTGTTGAGGTATTTTGGATAATTTGTAGTCATATTAATTAATGACAAAACTCCTAAAAGATTGAGACGGAAAGCAACAAGACTGAAGAGAGAGATAGAGAGTGTGATCATAATATTAGTCTTAAGTAGTGGACCATATTAGTCGTACTCTGTACACCGCATTTAACACCCCACTCGTGTGTCCTGTCTTTCAATTGCTTGTCCCGATTCACGTTCAAAGACAAAACCTTATTCCTAATTTCACGCTCTTTGTTTGCAAACTTAACAAGTCTTTCTTAGCATTTTCCTATTTCCAATCCGGAGACCCGCAAATATCACAATCATTGTTGGCCCAAAAACACGCAAAAATTGACTGATTTTGCCACATGAATAACATGGACTACCAAGGAAAGAGACCTATATACGTTTTATTGCATGCAGGATCATGCGTCTTAATTGAGATTAGTTTTAACCATGGTCACTTTCCTCCAAGCATGGCTAATAACATTGGCTAGAGGAACGAAAAATCAGTAGGTTTTACTGGGAAGTGACTTCATCCGCCGGTTGAGTTCATTGCTGGAGTAACAAGACTTTACCCTTGTACTTCTTATGGATCATAACTTTAGACATATCAATACCGCAGTACACGCCGGGACATGTCTCCTCAGTAAAAAGCAACTCACAACTAGGGAAATTTTGCGGACAGCCTGGCTCGGTTCTGGATAGGACGGCCCGAGCTGGACCATATTTCATTTAGTCACAATTACCCCGTTTAAGTCTAAGCCTGCCTTTTTTTCATTGCACTTTCCAGGTAAGATGGGGGCCAATACGTGGTCAGACACAAACAGGACCATACTAAATCCTAAAACTCAAGCCTAAATAAGGACCGGCCTAATCACTGCAGGAAATAATTGAGCTGGGCCAGGTTGGCCCATCACAACACACAAGGGCAAAATATCAAGAATAAAAAAACCAGGGGATAATCAGACCTTAATGATGAATGAAATCAAGGCCACATCCGGGTCCGACTGAACCAGGTTGCTCCATTACCACAGTCAAAAGATGGGGTGCAACCAGCTCTCAATCAGGGAATCGTAAACCATGGTTTTTGCACATGGAGATTTTATGGCATTTGTGTAGTCATTTATAAATCGCGATCAAGGCTACTAATCACAATCTACAAACTGTTTATAGTAGCATCTCTCCTCAGTGGTATATAGTAGAATCTATGGATACAAGATATTTACCTAATCTTGAAGATGCTTAAAACATTCCACTATCATTCAAGAGTCTTACCCCAACTTTCCTTGCTCGAGTTTTTTAACTGTAGCCTTCTTCTCATTTTCAGAAAGAGACATGAACGTGAAAACAGATTTATCTCCGATATCATCCTTCAAAAACAAAACCAGATTAAAGATTATTAGTGAAATTTTGATACTTTCATAAATAGCAAGACCTCTATGAAAGCTTGTACATGGCTTATATTCAGCGAGGAACAGTGTACCTTTATAGGCTGAGTAAATTTTCTTCCAGCAAATACTAAAAAGAGCGCCATCCACGTTCCTAGCAACACCAGTTTTACCTCATCATTCATCACACCGCTCTGCAAATTTAATATATCAATTTAGTTTCAAATACCAACATCATCAATTGTAGGAAATGTGAAACTTTCTCTTTAGAGAAGAGATACAGCAGATTATTCACTAATGTGGCCTTATGATAAGTTCTTATTTGATCTCAGAAGTCTAGTCCAATGTAACTAAAGCAGGATATCTTAATCAAACAAGATACTTTACCAAATGCCCAAGAAGAACTGAAGGTATGATGAATGTAAGAAGGCCAGCTTCTAGCTTTCCGTAGCAGAGTCCTGCAGACAGAAATACAAATCAAGAACATCGGTACGGTTAAAAAAATCAGTAAAAAGCATTTGATCCTCAATATGCAGAAGCAAGAAATATACACCTTCTTTAAAAACAAGCCCAGTGAGAGCTGCAAAAAGGGGACCAACAAACCAAACAGCGGACGGATGATCAACGACATAATGAACCAAGTTATCACCAGCTGGTCTTGCAAGGGCTGCGTAAGTAGCTAAAGAACCAACAAAACCAAGTGCCCATAAAGCTTGAAGAGTCCTCTTAATCTCAGTAACATATATATGAATTAGAAACAGAGAAAGCCCCAAACCACTAGCACCAACAAAGTAAAACAAATCATGGTTTTGCTTGATTGTTTCACTTAACCAAGAGTCTCCTGGTAAAAATGCAGCAGAAGAAGCAGCTACAAAAGATGCAGCAGCAGTCACTAGCCCTGATCTGTACAAAATAACCTGAAAAACAAAAGAGTAATCACCAAAAACTTGCATCGAACCGTCTCTACTAATCAGGCTTAACTACAAGATTGGCCTAAAACTATAAAAAGGATTCAACTTTGAGGAACCCAAGTGTTGAATGAATCGTAAGGAGAGAAGAGAAGAGACCTCTTTGACATCGGCTTGGTCGATGGTCCAGGGACCGTAAACACCTTTGTAAACGGTTCCATCGACGGCTCCTTGCGAACTATTGCTCACAGCCCTAACGTTAACCCTTCCTCTTCTCACCCCAACTCTCGCCGTTAAACACGCCGGCGATTTGTTGAGAGTAACCGGCGGTGTGATGAGTGTCGTTGTCGATAACAAACGCGAGGCCATTAGTCACAAATTGAATTCACAGAGGTCGTACCGGTTTAGTCTGGCATAGCTTGATAGTGTGAGCAGATTGACAGAGGTATCAAAACGCAGTCGTTTTTGGCTATGACGTGGTTCGGTTGAATTGGTTGAAAATAATCTGTGGTTATTATCATTTCATCGTCATGGACAAAATTCAACAGTAAAGCTAAAGATATATCTTATGGAAAAGAGATACTTTTGGTTCAGTAATCTTTGATTATCCACAAAAATGATTGTAATCTCATTGAAGGTTTAACCAACAAAAAAGTAGTAAGATCCACAAATAGGTATTACAAAATTTACTAATTTAGAGACTAGACTATGGCTGATATAGAGTGATTGTAAAATCTATGTGTTGTATAATTTGTCAGATTTTACGCCTCATCTTTCTGACAATGCAAAAGCCATGTTGTTAGCTTGATTTGATTCGACTAATCTCTAAGACTCTAGCACAAGTATACTTATTGTTAAGATCACACTATCTTGATTCTAGTACCAGTAAAGAATGTTAATAATCTTGAAGGATATGACATACCTCTGTAATGTAAAAGTTGAGCATAAGAGTCTGAGTAACACTCGAAAAACTCGCAAAAGGCAAGATATCAAAATGAAGCGTTGGTGTTGAATCTCTGTTTCTTTTTTTTTACATAAAAACACAGGGTTTTACATACAAAAGGACCTTGCAGATGGTAAAGACGATTCATCGCAGAACCAAAATCACAATTGCGAGAAGATACGAGTAACATTGTAAAGAGGGAAATATCATCATCATTCTAAAGAAACGCAAACCTCATTCAATCTCTATCTGTTGAGGAGATTCTTCATCATTTGAAACCATCCCATCTGCATCCACTTCCTCTTCTGTGATACCGGAGGCTTCAACTGTGCGCGTCACCCAATCCTTGAGCGGCTCTTCGTTTAGATCAAGTCTTAGCAATCCAGCAAACATACCACCCAAAAATGCAATTGGCTCCTACAAACAACCACATTGCAACAGGGCATCGAATATTAAAACACACAATGTAACACTTATCAAATTTGAAAACAGACCTAAGGATGTACATATACATTTAAAAAAAAAAAAAAAAGCCTCCAAGATTGATCAACAAACCACATAAATGGTTCAATTGCTATTTGGAACAATTCATCCTAAACAGAGATTACATGATTTTGTCATCAGATACATAAATTTCACTAATTGGTTTTCCAGGAAGATAATAGTACCTTGAGAGCCTCGGAGAGAATGGGTTCTTGAGGGAGATTGAAACAAGATGATTTCGAAATTAGGGTTCTTCGACGAGTCGGATAAAACTGAGGACGAGACAAAAGTTCACAGCTTTTGACTCCGGCGGAGAACTGAATTGTGACCCACAAAAGAGAATTGTTAAAAGATTGTAATTAGATAATCAAAATCAGAAGACGCAGAAGGAAGACGGACCTGGTGATGGTGAAGCTGAGAGACGACGACAAGCGAGGAGGACGGAGGACAAGTACAGGTTAAGACGAAACCCATCGCTTCCTTCTTCTTCTTCCTTCTATCTCTCAAGACTGAACCAAAACCACAGTGATTTTGGAAAACCAGAAAAACAAACTAAAATTGTGGATTATCCGACGCGGTCCGTATCTAACATGAATTAGCCGAAATTTTCCGAATAAGCTGAAGATTAATTGAATTATTTGGTTAGGTTAGTACTGAGTAGTGTATAACATAAAAGTAGAAAAGTCCTGTAATACACAAAGTCTTTCAACTCTGTAAAAAAGGTAGGCCATTCTTCGGGGTTAGAAGTCATCTCTAAAATATCCGAATAATCCATCAGAATGAGGATGCTTGTCATGGGGAGCGCTAATAAGCTCTTCATGGTCCACAAGAAAATCTCCAGTTCCGCATGAAGAGGGGAAAGGCTTATGCGCGAGCCTTTTAGTCCCAAATGCACCAATCTTAATCCATTGTAAACAATACATCTATGACCACTCCTAGCCTCCGCCCCATACCAGGATCTATCAATATAGGTCTATCCGCTGGGATTGGCAACACTTGCAATGTATGGTTCGACTCGGCTTGGGTATCCTGAGGTGGTACACAGAAATTCTCAAAATTCTAGAGTATCCTGAGGTGGTACACAGAAATTCTCAAAATTCTTCCGATTACGCGCCTTCCAAATATACAACATAATCCATGGAAATACTCTTACCCTCTCTTCATCCGCACCCGCTTCTTTTCCCCGCCAATACAAGTAATCTAGATTATTGTATAGTGAGGGTGAGGGGAACAAGGCTGGGGAAGATGGGATGTTGGAGAAGGCCCAGACTTGTCTGGCAGGAGGACATTCAAAGATCAAGTGATTGATCGTTTCTTCTTCTGCACCACATCTTGAACATCCTTTATCTCTACCAATATGACGATAAAATAGTCGTTGACACGAAGCCAAACAACCAGTCACACATTGCCACACGAAGTGTTTTAATTTTCGTGTAGTTTTTAATTTTCAAGCTTGCGCCTTTAGTGTCGTAACAATAGGTACATGAGAAGGGTGGTCACAAGCAGGACGAGAAATATATCTCGCTGCCTCATATCCAGATTTGACGGTATAATTACCAGACTTTGTCTTTGTCCAACAATATCCATCGCTCGAGACATTAAGGCTCGGTTTGATCTCCAATATTAGGGTAATTTCTTCTGGAGGAAATAATTCCCGAAGTCGGTACAACTTCCATTGTTTAGTCCCAAAGTCGATCAAAGTGTTGACGTACACCAAAGGGTCTCTTTCCAACATTAGTCCCTTTGGTGGGCGGGCCGGTGAATCTAGAATCCAAGGATCGGTCCAAATGCAGGTTCCAAACCCCGAACCAATAGTCTTCTGGATACCATATTTAAGCACGTCTTTGACAGCTAGCATGCTCCTCCAACCATACAACGGTCGGTTCGAGACAGTTATTTCTAATGGGCTAGAATAGCGAAAATAACGTCCTTTAAGGACCCGACGGAGGAGGGATTCAGGGAATCGTAGTAATCTCCATAATTGCTTCGCCAGAAGTGCGAGATTAAAATATCAGCTGAAAGCAGTAGCTATATCTAAGCTCGGTTGAAAACAAACTCGCTTCAGAAGGCTGGAGGTAATCTAAGATTTTCCAAGGATCTAAATCATAATCTTCCATCTGAGAGTTGAGTACATATTTGGTCCCAAGCTATCCAATGTATTCCTCGATTCTCCGCTTTATCACTCCACCAGAAATTGGCAATCGCACTAGTAAGTTTGGAACAAATTGCTTTTGGCAATAAGAAACACGACATTACATATGTCGGAAGATGTTGAGCTTGTGATTTAATTATAATTTCTTTTCCACCTTTAGAAAGGAATTTTGATGACCACAAGTTCAAAATAATATCTAGTGGATCTGATAGTTAATTGGTTACACTCAATCTGATTTTAGTTGAATATATCTCAATGTACCAATGTCGACCAATAACATACAGTTTCAAAATCTCAAGAGAGACTCATGTACTAAGCGTAAATAAATATATATTTTAATTTTAAAAGTCTACCAAGCATCAAGCGAGGACGTGAAGATCCAAAGTTTTTGGTGAGATTTGTGGTTTTCTCAACATTAAAACAATTTCTCATTTAAAGAAAAACCGGTAAATAGATTAAGATTTAATTGGTAAAAACTTAGATTTAGCGGCTTTGATTTATATTTTTTACGTTTTTTTCAAACTTGTCTTCTTCTTTTAGATTATTGGCCTTTTTCGTTTTAGTGTCGTGCGATACGCCGATACCTTTCCGTGACACTCAAAATAATACTCCCTCCGTATTTTAATAAGTGTCGTTTTAGAATTTTTACTTTTTTGAATTAGATGTCGTTTTCAAATTTCTATGCAAAATTTTTTACTTTTTAATGTTTTATGATGTCATAAAACATTAAAAAGTAAAAAATTTTGCATAGAAATTTGAAAACGACATCTAATTTTTTAAAAAAGAAAATCCTAAAACGATACTTATTAAAATACGGAGGGAGTATTACTTTTCAATTTATTAATGACACATCTCTTGAAAAACCTAAAGTATAGCAACGCAGGTGCCGGTTAAATGAGACGCTGGATAAAATAGCGACGTTAATTATTATGAACAAAAACTGCAACAATTGAGGAAGAGGAAAAAGCAGCGGCAACTAAGGGGAAAGAAACCAGCGCCATTGGTGTATTTTCTTATCGTCGAAACGTGTTGTGTGACACCTAAAAGAACAGAACCATTGTCTCCGAAAATTTCAACATTTTAGAGATATTTATGTTTTCTGCTAATGTATGTAATTTTTTTTTTTTTTAATAATCAGATAACAAAAAGAGAAGTAATTAATTTTAAATTCAATGATATATTAGATTAAAACTCGAAGACGAACCGAGACCTATATCATATGTAAATCCTCTATATTAGATTATCATATTTATATGATGTATCTCTTGTTTACTTTTTTTTCTTGGATAATGAACATGTTCAAGTTCATGCGACTAATCATAAAAGCATTGGAATAGTCATATGAGACGTCACAAAATTAATTAAGCAAACGATGAAAAATAGTTTTCTTTAGCAAAGTTTCTATAAACTATAATATAGATATAAATTGCTACCTTTTTAGTCCTCGTGAAATCATGTAAATAATTAAATAACGAGTAACTCATGATTAAACGAAATGAAAATAATCATTTGGATCCGAGAGATTGCGAGGCTTGCAATCATGAGTATTGTAAAGCATGTGATTAGCCCATCATTTGATCAAGTGGTACATATATATTCAAGGATAAATCGATCTAAACATAAATGAATCCGAAAAGAGTTAAGAAGTTTACTCTTCCTTGTTTTTGATTAAAAGGGTTCTTTACTTGGATATATATTGAGAAAAAAATAAGAGGATATACTTATACGAAACAATTACTATAGTAGCTCTTGCTTTCTTACTGTTTTCATATTATGGTGAACTCAAGTATTGGTAACATATTATAGTAGCTCTTGATTTGCTGCTACGTATGGTTGCTTATGTCGTTATTTAAATTGATGACGAATGAATTTTACTGGTAAAAACGTCCCAAACCTAACACTTGCTAATTTGGATATGTGCACATGTTTTCCCAACCTGTCATTAAATCAACGTACAAATTTGTCATCCAAGAATCTAGTCGTTGAATTAGCCAGTGATATACTTGTTGTTCATTAGCATTGACTTGAGTTTACGCCGGAACTATTGGTGGTATGTGTGCACGTATTTGTCATGTTTATTTCCTTTCTATTAGAGAGAGAATACAGTAAGTTTTTTTTATCTAAACAAAAGAAACTTTAAGTAGATTGGGAAAGCTTTGTATAATCAACGTTCATAATTGAAAGCCAAAACGTCTTAGTTACAACTACAAGTGATCATAAGTAGGCGCAAAGAATCTCACGCCCCTACAAATAATAGCAGGCCTAAAAGAAAATAAATAAAAAATTCCATTGCAGATTGGTTCATAGTCCTACATGATTCACTAGGGCCAATCCTAAAAGCTACTAACTCATTTCACTTTCACTTATGATTAGATGGTGATGATCATCTGATTTTGCACATTTCCATGTGACCCACTTTTTTGTATCTTTAAAAATTCCCCAAAGGAACCTTTAGAATAAAAGAGAGGGTCCCTACACAAACACATAGTGAAGGTGATCTCGTCTATTTAAACACATCCATATTCATTGTTCAAACATAACCAAATTTATCTCTCTATCATTTCACATATTGAGGGTTTGAAAAACTATATATATTAATTAACTATGGAGTTCAATGGTAATTTGAATGCCGGTTCTTCCTCTAGATCAAAAAAGAGTCATAGGCAAAAGCAGCAACAACCGCAACCGCAACCACACCAACATATTGAAGAAATAAAGTATGTAGGGGTGAGGAGGAGGCCATGGGGAAGATACGCAGCTGAAATAAGAAACCCGACTACGAAAGAGAGGTATTGGCTAGGTACTTTTGACACAGCCGAAGAAGCTGCATTGGCCTATGATAGAGCTGCACGGTCCATAAGAGGCTTGACTGCTCGAACCAACTTTGTCTACTCCGATATGCCTCGTGGCTCCTCAGTAACTTCATTTGTCTCTCCTGATGAATCCCAACGTTTCATTTCCGAGATATTCAACCCTCCAAGCCAACTAGAAATTATTAACAGCAGCAACAACAACAATCTCTCTTCATCGACCAACAACCAAAACCAGAACTCTATTGAGTTCTCATACAATGGGTGGCCTCAGGAGGCTGAATGTGGTTATCAATCTATAACCAGTAATGCTGAGCACTGTAATCATGAGCTTCCACCTCTTCCTCCCAGTACTTGTTTTGGAGCTGAACTGAGGATTCCGGAGACCGATAGCTATTGGAATGTTGCGCATGCAAGCATAGACACGTTTGCCTTCGAGTTTGATGGCTTTGTGGATCAAAACAGTCTTGGTCAGAGTGGAACAGAAGGGTTTAATTCTTTATCCTCCACATTCTTCTACCAATAACAGTCATGAGTTGTCCAAGTGTGTCTTTGTTCTTTGGTATTTCTTTTGTTTTCACTGTCCTTTTCGCCTTTATAATGGACTGGAATGAGAGATATCAAGTGTCTCTCTCTCGCTTGTAGCGTTTATGTTTCTCTGAAATTTTATCAAATGTTTTGTTATTGTTGCTTACCAAATGCAAGACTCTCTTGATCAGTACTTGTAAACTCTGTGTAGCGCATACGATTGTGATTGCTTCAAAGTCTCTTTTAATTTGTTTCGGTCCATATACCTTTTGGTGATATTGATTTTAGGCGTAACTGGCTAACTAGCACAATTAAGGTTTTTCAACTAGATAACTAGTATCGGAGGAAAAAAAATACCATAAATTAAAGAGTACCACATTCTTAAGTTTTGCTTTAAACATACCATCACTAATTTTTTTTCCAATAAATACCATAAATTAATGGATAGATCCGATGCCAAGTTGATGCTTCATGGGTAAGTGATGGTAATACCTCTGGTCTTGGTTTCGTGCTCGACGCTCCATCAGGACGGCTTCTTGGATCAAGAGGTAAAACACGATTGCTTTCCCCGCTTCATGCTGAACTAGAGACCCTTTTATGGGCTATGGATTGCACGGATGTGGTAAAAGTCACTTTGAAACGGATTGCACGGATGTGGTAAAAGTCATAGAGGAAGAAGACCCGTGGCCAGTCTTATAAACAGAAATTGAGTCCTTTAATCCATGCGTAATCGTTTTAGATGTTTTTCGATTTTCAATATTTCTAGAAACTTGAATATCCGAGCCGACACCCTTGCGAAAGGTGCTTGATCTCGTGATGCTATATTTTTCCATGTAAGTTATCAGGTTCCGGAGTGGTTGGCTATCGATGCCAACATTTTCGAACCAGCTTAATAATATATGGAGTCTTTTGCCGTAAAAAAAAAAATATATGTAATCAATAATTAGGTTATTTAAAATAAATACTTTGATATAATTGTTCCAAAAAGTTTTTTAGACGGCTATATGTCCAAATATTAGTGACCACGAGTATAGCGAATTTACAGCCGTTTGGATGGTGGAACACATTACATTAAACAATACTGGGCGTTTTATTCTTGAAGACCATATATAGCTACGACGAGTTCTGTAACATTTCCATTAAAAGTTTTGAAACACTGAAGTGAATATATAGATGACTATCAACAGTTGAAATATACGTCCAAGGAGAGACTATCTTTGAGTCTATAGCTACAGAAAACAGCGTGGTTATACTGCACGCAACTCTCGTGACATATTCATCGGTACATGTTAGCAGTTCTACCTACCACGTCCATAATTTTTTTTCCTGTTTTAAAATACATGTAGTAAACTGAAGTTGCAAAGTTTCTTTCAAGGCATTTATCAATGAAGTTCAGTCGTATAATTTTTAATGAATAGGGTGGTATAACAACCAAATTAAAATAATCATATTCATGTTTTAACTTTTCGTTAAAAAAGCGTACGTTATCAAACAACACAACTATATATCAATTATTATGGTTGGTCTTTTGTGATCGAAAAAACTAAAACACACAATTCAAAGAAAAAAACAGAATGGATGAGAAGGAGATCCCAAAGAACCTGGAGAGAGACGACGAAGAATACGTAAGTTTGATCTCTTCACTTCCTTCAGATATAGATTTCGTTGGCCGAGAGCTGTTCAAGTACCAAGAATCTTGGTACGGCAACAAAATGTTGCAAGCAATAATCAATTTCCAACGAGGTTTCGAGCCACAAGACACGGACATAATCATTGCTTCGTTCCCCAAAGCCGGCACTACTTGGCTCAAAGCTCTCACTGTAGCCCTCCTTGAGAGATCCAAACACTCTTCTGATGCTCATCCTCTTCGACTTGATAATCCTCATAACCTAGTACCATTCTTCGAGCTCGATCTGTACGCCAAAAGCTCGAAACCAGATATGACCAATTTCTCATCAACCCCGAGGGTATTCGCGACTCATGTGCCGCTCCACACGCTGCAAGAAGCTCTCAAGAACTCTTCTTGTAAGATTGTGTACGTGTGGAGGAACGTGAAAGATGTTTTGGTGTCTTATTGGTATTTCAAGTCTGCACTGATGAAGGTAGAAGCAGAGAGAAGCTTGTTGGAGTCAATGTTCGAATCGTTTTGCAGAGGAGTTAGCTATGGCGGACCATTCTGGGAACATGTCTTGAGCTATTGGAGAGGAAGCTTGGAAGAATCCCAGAATGTGCTTTTCTTGAAGTACGAGGATTTGAAAACAGAACCTCGTGTGCAGCTTAAGAGACTTGCCGAGTTTTTGGACTGTCCTTTTACGGTGGAAGAAGAAGAGAACGGATCAGTGGAAGAGATCTTGGAACTTTGTTCATTGCGTAACTTGAAGAATTTGGAGATCAACAAAATCGGGATAACGTCAAGAGGAGTCGATCACAAGAATTTTTTCCGTAAAGGGGAAGTCGGTGACTCGAAGAATTATCTGACTCCTGAAATGGAGAAGAGGATTGACATGATCACCGAGGATAAATTTGGAGGTTCGGGTTTGAAATTATGAGTTATGTATGTGTGGTTTGTGCTCGTTTTTATGTTCCTTGATTTATGCTGAACCTATGCTTGCTTTCATGTTCATTGTTTCTTTTCTTGATTTGTGATTCATGATGTCTATCTTTTGTTACTACTTTGGTGTCGAATTCGGTTTGATTTAATTAAGAACAGTGATGTGAAACCAAAACGAATAGCATTTGCAGTTGAACATTTGATGGTAGAATATATTACATGTCACATTTCTTGGGCGTTTTAATTATTAAGACCATTATATGACTACAATGATTTCTTTCGCATTCCACTAAAAAGATAGATATATATATATACACACTGCAGTAATGGTGATGTGCCTTTAGTCAAGTGGTTAAGTCCATTTGACTCCGCCTTCCCACCGGAGTTCGGCTCCACTAAGTCGCGTTATCCCGCATAGTAGAGATTGGCTATGGATCGGGCCTTGTCGATCCAAAGATATCAAAAAAAAAATATACACTACAAGAATATGAAGCATTTATAGCTTATGATTATAGCAATTAACGTTGTTTTGCTATGATTGACATACACGTTAATGTTATAGTGTTTGGTAATTTTAAAACGCTATACTCTATGACTCGGAGAAATTAAAGGACGCGGGTTAATGTTTTTGGATTTAGGTTTAATATTCGATAGCACTATTTTAGATTAAACGCTATATAAGCTAGTAGCGCGTAATAAATTAAAAAGTGCCCGCCTGTTAAAAAAAAATTGTGGGAAAAAACGAAACAAAAAATAAAACACACAAAATTTGCCTAAGAGCATTAGCAGTCGCACAATCAGGTGGGTGTGAGTCTTAGGGTGTAGATATTAAAAAAACGAAAAAATTGTCTCTCTCTTCACACCCGGGTGTAAGTTTACACTCGGGTGTAACACTTTTTCTCTCTATCTCTCTCTTTCTTTCTCTTTCTCTTTTCTCTTTTGCTTTAAATTATAATACTAAAAAAATACTTACACCCACACAAACACATTTGCCACTGCTAATGGTCTAAGGCATAGAGACTCTTCGTCATCTCTTTCCAGTTCTCGATTCTTCATCTCTCTCTGTTCTCTCTCTGTTCTCGAGTCTCCATCTCTGTCCCTTTGTGTACTTGCTCAATTTTTCAGTCCCTTGACTCTCCATCCCTGTCCCTTTGTGTCATCGTTCTTGCTCGACTCTACATCTCTTTGTTACTCGACTCCCCGTTTCTCTTTTCACTCGACTCTCCCTTTCTCAGTTACTCGACTCTCCCTTTCTCAGTTACTCGACTCTCCATCTCTCTTCTCACTCAACTCTCCATCTCTCAGTCACAGATCTAGTCCTAAATTGTAAGGGTTAGGGTTTTGAAATCGATTTGGGGTTTGGTTTGTGAAATTCTCATATTTGAGCTTCAATTTGGGGTTTTAATCGTTTTAGGGTTTTGTTTTGAGGTACTCTGAGTTGCAGAAGCTTTCGATAGCCGTTTCTCGAAGCTTTCGGTGAATCAACATGTATTTTTTTGCGTTTATTAGTTTGCATGTGTGTTAGTTTCTGAATTGAGCTACTGTTTTGAATTGATTTAGTGTTTCTCTTTGTTAGTTTCAAACTTGTTTCGAATGGAGCTATTTTTTGAATTGATTTAGTGTTTTCTTTGATAGTTTCATATTTGTTTCGAATTGAGCTACTGTTTTGAATTGATTTAGTGTTTCTCTTTGTTAGTTTCAAACTTGTTTCGAATTGAGCTACTGTTTCATATGTTTCTCTTTGTTAGTCATGTAAATTGAGCTACTGTTTTGTTAAAACCAAACTGTGTCAAAACTAAACTTGTTTTTGAAATCAAACTCTGTTAAAACTAAACTCTTATGATTAGCTACTTTGTTAAAACTAAACTCGTATGACACTATATTATAATAAACAAAGTGTTTTGATACTTTATTATGTATGTGTTTGCTAGCTCTTTGGTATTTGTTTACTTATATATAGCCTTATTCGAGCGCTACAGATGCTTCATTTTCTTGTAGTGGTACAAATAGCCCAAAACAGAGCTTAATTAAATTGAAAATCTACACCAAATCAAATAATCACAACAAATAATCATAAATAGTAGTGGAAGAGAGAACTAGTAGCTGGTAGAAGAGAACGTATCCTTATCCTCTTCATGCCCTTGATGGTGAGTGAGCAAACCAACACTGAAGCAAGCCTCGGAGTTTGGTGCTCTTTGTGTAATCCAAAGACGTGATCCTGTTACGGATTAGCTTATCAATATTACTACTAGCTAGCTGGGAAGTTGTCAAGTATCCGTTGTGGTGGATCCTTGAAGAAAAATAAAAATATTGAATTTCTGAGGTGAAGATATATGACTAATAACAACTGAATTATATTTGTTTTGCTTAGAAACATTTTATTGTAATTATTGTAACATAGATCTGCAGCGTATAGAGAAGAGGCTATGTTTTAGTCTAAAGCTACAAAAAAAAAAAGTAAATGGTTGTATAACTTGTATCGCTCAGCAACTCACTGCACTATCTCGTGATTCATGACATGATTAGTTGTTGCATGTTAGAAGAATCCAGAATTCAAATTAATTAAACCAAATTGTCTTTTTCTATCTACCACGTTGCCAAGTACTATATAGTATTGTTTTTCTACTAAAAATACTAGTAGTCAAAGAGTGACGTTTCAAAAAAATTCCTTTTAAGGCCATATCAATAATATAATTACAAATAAATCTCTTAACTACTACACCTCTTTAAATAATCATAACGTTTTGACTATTTTATGAACGTTAACATAGCGTTATTTAGCAACACAACAATCAATTATTATGCTTTGCAATCGGAAAAGCCAACACACAAGCAAAAAAAAAAAAATGGATGAGACCTAGATCCCAAAGAAACTGCAAAGCGACGACGAAGAAAACATTGATCTCTTTATTTCCCTTTGACTTAGATTTCGACGGCACAAAGTTTTTTTTTTTAAATGTAATGTTAAAAAAAAAAAAAAACGTTTGTATAAATAGTGTTTCGTGTGTTTGATAAAATTAAAAAGAAAGATTGAGATTAGATAGAAATGCTCAAGATTACGATCTGCTTTGGAGTCTGCTTCGTATCTTCGGTCGTTGATCCTTCAAATAGTGGTTAGCTGATTACGGATTTGTTTGTCAATCCATTGAACTAGTTGATCTGCCGAGTTGGGGGCTTCATCGTGACGCCTCACATTCCTTTCCCTCTAGATTATGTAAACGGTAGTTTTGAAGATGTACCGTACCTCATTAGAAAACTCTCTACTTGGTCAAGGTTGTGATCCGATGCTAGAGAGAGGATTTGAGACCAATCAGTTGTGTAATTGGTTTTGAAGACTTCTTTGGCATCCGCCTCCCAGATTTTTGAAGCGTAGTTACAAGAGAAGAAGAGATGATCCCATGTTTCAACACAGTTCTTGCACAGAATGCAGACCCCCGATGCTCCCCTGTTCCATTTGATCATGCGGGAACCAGTTGCAAGTCTGTCATGGACCGCTAGCTATACACAAAATGAGTATTTCGGTGTCGCATGATTGAACCATACTCTCCCTTGTGCCAAGACATCGTATTAGATGTTGTTCCAACATGATTCCATGCGTCTTTTGTGGCAAACTTTGCTTTGAAAATATCATTTTTTCCTCTCCACAGTACTTTATCATTCTGCTCCTTTTTGTTTTGCCATTGAGTATATAATGCCTCCTCAATCGTAGTTAAGCAAGTGCTTCTATGTCTTCTTCTCCGTCTAGTTGCAAGCGTCCGCCACAAACATTTGACGGCTTATCCCCAAGTCTATTACTCCTCTTTCTCCTGCAATATCGACAAGCCTTCCCAATGGTTACCAAAAATCAAACTCGAAAGAAGTACGTTCTCCATTCTCCACCTCTATTTTACAAAAATATTTAGCCACTTCTCTCTTTTTTTTTTTTTTTTTTTTTGTAAACCAGCCACTTCTCTATACTTGATTATTTTTTTCCAAATCCATGATCCTAAGCTTGCGGTTTCCTTAGCAGTCCGAAACGATTCTTTTTTAAGCAAATACATGTCGACCCATTTTACCTATAACGAGTTTTCATGTGAGATGATTCTCCAGATTAGCTTTAAACAACACACATCATTCGCCTCATTCTGGAATTCATTTCTATTCCTGACCATAAGAAAGCTGAGCACAATTTGTCGATTTGCTGAATACAGTCAGGGGGAAGGCGAAAAGCACCCAGCCAGAAGTTACATATCAAATTAAATCTACCGACAAAAGAGAGATAGCGGGAAGTCCACGATCTGATACGCTTCATGATCTGGTCTATAAGAGGTGTGTAGTCCGTAGCTGAGAGACGTTTTGTGACTAATGGTAACCCCAAGTAACGTCCTGGCAGCTGGCCCAAATCAAAGGGGAACTTACTTGCCATTTTTTGACGGATTGGGGCTAGGATTCCTGCTAAAAACATAGTCGATTTCTCCATACTAATCCTGAGACCCGATTGCTTTGAGAATTTTATCAAACACCTCGACAATACCCTCAATGGAGAGAATCTTACCATTAGATCATCAGCAAAACACAAGTGAGTAAGCCCGAGTTTCTTACACCGCGGATGGTACCCGACATGACCTTCCCCCACAATTTTATCCAATAATTTTGAGAGTACGTCCATGCTTATAACAAATAGATACGGTGATAAAAAAACAGCCTTGTCGAATATCCCTTGAGCTCTGAAAATACCATGCTAGCTCTCCATTGACCTGAACGGAGAAAGAGGTTGTAATAATACAAAGAGTGAGCTCAACGCCATGGAATTCCCTCCAACATTCATTCAGTGGCACGAAGCTCTTCAAGTACCAAGGATGTTGGTACGACGACAAAACTCTGCAATGTGTTCTCAATTTCCAAAGAGGTTTCAAGCCACAAGACACCGATATAATTGTTGCTTCTTTCCCCAAATCTGGAACTACTTGGCTCAAAGTTCTCACGGTAGCTCATCTCGAGAAATCCAAATAGAAACACTTTTCTGCTGATCATCCTCTTCTACTTGATCCTCATGCTCTAGTACCATTCCTCGAGCTCAGACTGTTCACCGAAACCTCGACCAGTAATTGACTCATGTGCCGCTCCACACGCTACGGAAGTTCTCAAGAACTCTCGTTGTAAGATCTTGTATATGTGGAGGGACGCGAAAGATGTGTTGGTGTCGCTTTGGCTTATGAAATGCGCAATTCTAAAGATAGAAGCATGTTGGAGTCATTGTTCGAGTCAATTTGTAGAGGAGTTTGCTATTACGGACCATTCTGGAACATGTCTTGAGCTACTGGAGAGCAAGCTCGGAAGACTCCAAGCATGTGCTTTTCTTGACAGATATTAGACCTTTGCTCATTAGGTAAATTGAATAATTTAGAGATCAACAAGACCGGCAAAACTCTAGAGGGACCTTACACAAGAATTTTTTCCGTTAAGGGAAAGTCGGTGATTCAAAGAATTATCTGACTCTAGAAATGGAGGATATAGTTGACAAGATCATCGAGAAGAAATTTGGAGGTTCGGATTTGAAATTCTAAATTACATATGTATGATTTGTGCTTTCGTTGATGTTCGTTGTTATTTTAATTTCATTGGTTTATGATTCATGATCGATGTCTATCATTTGTTACTACTTTGGTGTCGATCGAATTTGGTTTTATTTAACTAAGAACGATGATGTAAAACCAAAATGAATAGCATGCATTAGTTTGGATTATCCTTTGGACTAGAAATTGTATACTTGCCTAGTTCCGCATTAAGATTTTCTTCGGATTAATCTAAATCATCTATCCAAGTAGAAATGTAGGCATGTGTGATAAGTGGAAAGATTGGAATTTAACACATACTGACTCATAAGTCATAACAATTGTCGCGCATGGCCACCTTTATACAATACTTATCACGTGTTTGTGACAATTATTGCAGAATCTTGACGCTATTTCGCGACACTTTCATTCATCTTTACGTGATATTTGTTACTTATGCTTCGCGTTTCTACCACTTGTCTTTTTAACATGTTTTTTTATCCGGGAACGAAAAATTTATATAGATCCCTAAAGTATATTATAAAATAACCATTCCAATAAAAAAAAACAGATAACTATATAGCCACATAATAGGAAAAAGTATATTAAGACTACTAAAATATTTTATTTGTATTAAAGAATTACTATTGTAACATAGATGCAGAGAAGAGACTATGTTTTAGTCTATAGGTACCAAAAAGGTTAATGGTTGTTTAACTTGTATTGCGCAGCAGAAACTCACGGTACTGTATTGCGCAGCAGAAACTCACTGTACTATATCGTGAGTCACGACATGATTAATTGTCCACATTAGTTCGTTAGGGTCCATCAGATATTCCAATAATCAACATGCGTTTGTTGAAAAGAAAAAAAAAAAAAAAAAATCTCTTAACTACTACACCTCTTTAAACAATCATGTTCTGATTATTTCGTTAACGTTAAAATAGCGTTATAAAACAAGCAACAATCATTCCAGAGCAAAAGAAAATAAAAATGGATGAGACCGAGATCCCAAAGAAACTGCAAAACGAGGATGAAGAAACCATAAGTTTGATCTCTTCACTTCCCTTAGACGTAGATTTCGATGGCACGAAGCTGTTCAAGTACCAAGGATATTGGTACAACGACAAAACCCTGCAAGGAGTCCTCCATTTCCAAAGAGGTTTCGAGCCAAAAGACATGGACATAATCATTGCCTCGTTCCCCAAATCTGGTACTACTTGGCTCAAAGCTCTCACCGTAGATCTCCTCGAGAGATCCAAACAGAAACACTCTTCTGATGATCATCCTCTTCTCCTTGATAATCCTCATGGCCTTGTACCATTCCTCGAGCTCAGGCTGTTCACGGAGACCTCGAAACCAGATCTGACCACTATCTCATCATCACTAAGGTTGTTCTCGACTCATATGGGGTTCCAAACACTGCGAGAGGCTCTCAAGAACTCTCCTTGTAAGATCGTGTACGTGGGGAGGAACATGAAAGACGTACTGGTGTCGTTTTGGTATACTAACTGCGCACAACTAAAGATAGAAGTGGAGAGAAGCATTTTGGATTCAATAATGTTCGAGTCCTTTTGCAGAGGAGTTATCAATTACGGATCATCATGGGAACATGTCTTGAACTATTGGAGAGCAAGCTTGGAAGACTCCAAGGTAAAAAAATGAAACATTGGCTTAGGGCATGTAAATTTTTGGAAACTTTTAGGGGCAAATTTTCAGTTTTTATTTATATGCATGTACTCAAATCAAATAATATAGCTATAGAAACATATGCTTAAACATTGAAACCTTTTTGATATATATGGTTTACACAATAAAAATTATGGTTTTATAAATAGCTATGTAAACAATATAATATAGAAATATTAAATAATTTAAACAGTAGGAGGCATGGAGAAACACCATTACCACCACCGCAATTACTTTGAAATATCGACAAACAAGTCCAAAACCGGATCTCCTTTATACGGAAACAAGGAGATAGAAAATATGATGGATGCATAGAAGCTTGGTTTGCTACTAGATGACCACCAAGAGAAGTAGAATCTTTTGAAATTGTTTGGAAAGTCTTAACTAAGTGTTGCACTCGATGTAAAAACGTTTTTTCGAACAAAATTTTACATTTTATTCAAAAAAAAAAAAAAGATATTAAATGATTTAACCATTTCATCTATGAAATAAGATTGTTGAATTGGTTATCGTAAATCAACTTGAGTATACCACATGACATATTGAATGACTTAGCCATCCATGAAGTATGATTATATTAGTTATAAACTTTGATTTTAAGAGTTTAGTTAATGATAATGTTGAAAAGAAAGAAAAAGATGCTACTACAAATACTAATTTGGTAATTTTAGTCATTTACATGTCTTATTAATGATAGTAATTATTGTAATAAGAGGGGACATTTTATTCTTTATTGCTTCTGTTGACTATCCACGTCGAAGCATATATGTGCTTTTCTTGAAGTACGAGGAGTTGAAAAAGGAGCCTCGTGATCAGCTCAATATACTTGCCGAGTTCTTGGGTTGTCCTTTTACAGTGGAAGAAGAAGAGAGCGGATCAGTGGAAGAGATACTAGACCTTTGCTCATTGGGTAACTTGAAGAATTTGGAGATCAACAAGACCGGAAAAACTCTTAAAGGGCCCGAGCACAAGAATTTTTTTCGTGAAGGGGAAGTCGGTGACTCCAAGAATTATCTGACTCCTGAAATGGAGAAGATAATTGACATGATTATCGAGGAGAAATTTCGAGGTTCGGATTTAAAATTCTGAGTTACGTTATCTTTATGTGTGGTTTAATTGTGCTTCATTTGACCAAAGTACCATTTGTTGTAACTTGTTATGTTATTTTGATTTATGATTTCATGATAATGTGTATCATTTGTTACTACTTTGGTGTTGAATTCAGTTTCGTTGAACTGAGAATAATAATTTGAAACCAAAGCGACTAGTTTTTGCGGTTGAAAATTTTATATTATATTTTCAGAATGAGAACATATGTAATCAATAATAAGGTTATTTAAAATAAATACTTAGATAATTGTCCCAAAAAAAGTTTTAGACGGCTATATGTGAATCCAAAAAAAAAAGGCAAGATACTTCGCTAATTGTCCTAATGGTGCTATTACTTGGGGAGTGGGTTATCTGACGACAAATTGTCTTTTAATTCAATCTTCTTTTCCATACTTCCAGTATACTCCATGATCATTGGAAAATACTTAACTATTATCTTTTAATAAGAAACGTATGTGAAGCATCAATTGCAATAAATAAATAAAATTGTATATTTTCCCACATAGTATTGAATCAAGTCATCTTTAGCTAACAGTGACACCAGATCCCCTAAAAATGGGAGAATCTATCGGGAACGGTTCCTGGTTTAAACTTAGAGGCTTCATGTCTCGCAAGTTCAGGTGGCACCAAACTGTTACACTCAATAAGCTTCTGTTTCAGACCGTAAAACAAATCTTTATCCTCAAGAGTCAAGAAAGTTGTCGCAATACCTGTCTTCCCTGCTCGTCCTGTTCGTCCAATCCGATGCGTATAAAGATCCATTGTGTTAGGCATATCGTAGTTGATGACTTGTGCCAAGTCAAGAATATCAAGCCCTCGGCCTAAAACATCTGTTGTAACAAGAACGTTGAATCTCTTTTTCTTGAATTCTTCTAAGCTATAATCTCTCTGTTCTTGTGACTTCCCAGCGTGTAATGTCGTCACACGACACCTTGCTAACTTTTCTAGATTCTTAACAATGTAATCAACCTTGTTCCTGGTATTCACAAACACAATCGCTGTCTTATCATCACTGAGATCGTCAATCAGTTTCTTTAACCTTGAGAATTTGTTTGATTCTTTGGTCATGACAACTTTTTGAGTGATAAACTTTGTGGTTTCTCCAATGGTGACCACAACTGGATTCCTCAAGTACTTTCTAGCGAGACGCTCTACACTATGAAGCATAGTGGCACTGAACATATACGTAGTTCTGTAAATCTTCTTTTCCTCGAGCTCTTCATCTTCCTTCTTGGGTTTCAAATTACTCGAAGGCATTGCATCTAACACTTCCGCGACCTGCGGCTCAAAACCCATGTCGATCATCCGGTCAGCTTCATCAAGAACTAAATAGTTACATTGGTTCAACACCACGTACCTTCTCTCAAGGCAATCTATCAATCGACCAGGTGTAGCAATCACAATCTCACATCCTTGTGATAGTTTCAAAGCTTGTTTCTCAATAGACTCCCCACCAGTGATAGAGATCGCCTTAAACCCAAGATAACGCGCAAACTTAACCGTCTCTTCTTCAATTTGATGTGCAAGCTCTCTTGTAGGAGCCATAACAAGCGCGTAAGGACCTTCTGTCTGATTCTCTTCCCTCAATGGTGGCAATCTAGATATGTAAGCCAACATTGGCAAAACAAAAGCCGCGGTTTTGCCAGAACCCGTCTGTGAAATACCGATAACGTCACGCTGTTCAAGTCCTAAAGGTATAGCTGCCATTTGAATAGGTTTAGGTTTCTCATATCCAGCTCTTTTCACTGCTTTCAATAGCTCATAAGTAAGCTTACTCTCTTTCCAACTCCTCATCGGATGAGGAGTAATCTTGGATCCTTTGTAAGAAATATCGAAATCTTCCTTGAAAATACGCCAATCTCTTTCACTCATCTCCTCTAACTTCTTCTCACTCCAATGCTTATCTTCTTCCTCACGTTTCTCTCTAGAGTTCTTAGTGGCCACTAGTTTTTTCTGCTCACGGCGGTCTATTCCCGCGCGAAACCCTCTCCCAAACAGAAGCTGAGCTTCATGAGGGTTTTGGTAGAGAACATTCATATCTCCACTCGAAGTATCTTCAGTGTTCTCCCAATCGAAACGGAAATTCTTGCTCGGCTTGATGATGACTCTCTTATTAGGTTTCGTAGATCCTAAGTATTGCTCTTTCATGGCGTTAATCTCTTTCTCGTGCTTTAGCTTCTCTAATTTCTCAACCCTAGCTTTGACGTCACGTTCACGAAACTCTCGATCGCTCTCTCTGTCTCGTTTACGGTCACTGCCTGAATGACGCTCTCGTTTCCGATCCCTGTAACGGTTTCCATCGCCATTATTGGGGTTGGAGCAAGAGATCTGAACGAGGCGGCGATCACAATCGGCGATTTCATCCTGACGGCGTTTTAGGGCTAATTCTTCTCTGTGAGCTTTGGTGAGGAATACGGGCTTCATAAGATTGTCGGAATCGAGTGTCTTCTTCTCCATCGCAGAATCCTTGGAACGATTGCTTCATTAATTTAGGGATTCACGGTGAATAAGATGGAAAGAAGAGAACCGTTTTTCTTCCAAATATGGAAACTTACTTCAACTGAAGAAAAAAAGCCCAACTCACTAGGCCCATTAGATAGGCCCATACTAAGGCCTATCTAGTAATATTCAGAGCATATCTTCCTATGTTCTAAAGGCATGTCATGTAAATATAAGCATATTAAATATTTATTTATAATATATATATAATCATATTAAATGTTTTTTTGTTTTTTGAAAAAGTCCCTAGTCCTTACATAAGAATTTTTGTTATTAAATGTTAATAGTGTTATTTTAGAAATTAATATAATAAATATCTAAAACAACAAAGTTATTTTAAAAGTAAAAAGATACAAATCAAAAGTATAAGATGCCAATTGCCTGATTTAAGGGAAAAGAGTTTTTTTTAGATAATATTAAATAAGTTTATGTGTCTTAGATATTGTAAAAGATTTAACTTATATTTGGGGGAAAAATATATATAAATAAAAACAAGGTTGTTGTAAATACGATTTAGCATACTTAAATTTAACATTAAATTTTGTCAAAATAATGTAAGCTAATTTAGAAAAAAAAATCTATAGAGTTAACTAAATTTAGAGAGCTTTTTAGCATAATTAAATACTATAAAGATAAACATAGAAAATAAGGAAAATTATTTTGGTTAATAACTATATATAAATAGATGTGCTGAGTTCTAGTCTTCAGACTCCTTAAAATATTTACTTTGTGAAAGCATTTTTAGTTATATTTCTAAGGTAGTTAAAACTTTAATAGAATGGATCCTAAAATGATGATAGAAAAAACACTAAAAGACTGTGATCTTTCTCGTAGAGGTTGTTTGTTTTTACCCAAAGCAAAAATGGAAAACATACTTAGAACTACAGGAATTACATTACCTCGAAATGGTATACAAGTGGAAATTCAGGATCATAACAAATCTTATTGGGTAAATTTAAAAAAAACACAGTGTTGGTTATCATATCGGAACTGGATGGACAAATATCAGAGATGCAAGAGGTCTTCAAACAGGCGATATTATCAAATTATATTGGAAAGATACTAAATTCATTTTTACTATGTAATGAGTTTTCATATCTTTTTATATCATTCTTTCGTTAGTTATTCTATTTTAGCTTATGAATTTTATTTGTTAAAAATTATTCATATAGATAGATGCTAACATTTTTAATTAAGGTTCAAATGGTAATATCAGGTTGCACAGAGCGGGACCATCAAATCAAACAGGAGAAAGTAGCTCAAGTGCTGTTCATGCGGGAGATTCACAAGAGATAAATTAAACAGTGTAAGACAAACAAAACAAAAGTTAAAATGATGAAAAAAATAAGTGCAGTACAAGTATACAATTTAGGATGAATGGATTCTTTTTTTATAAATAAAATTGTAGTGATCAATGTATTCAATGGATTGTTTTACATTTCTGAATTAAAAATAAAATAAAATTAAAATCTGAGCCCTAAGTACAGCTATCCTAAATGTTCCCTACCAAAAAAAAAAAAAAAAGCTATCCTAAATGTCTTCTTAATATTACTTTAATTTTATTTTTAATGATTTGCAACCTATCACATTTCGATAAATAGAAGGAAACAACGAGTGTTGTGTTTGGATCTAATAAAAACGAGCAAAAATAATAGAGATCACAAATTTTAGAATTCCAACGAAAAAAAAAAGTCTCCAAGAAGATAGGCAGGATCATGGAGTCAATGCGTCTCAATCCACTCACATTCCAGAAGATAATTGGTATATCCAATTTTCCAATCTAGAGATATGGTTTTGTTACAGTAAACCTAATATATTTATAAATTATTGGGGTTGTCATCGTCGTAAATTGAAGGCTACTATTCTATTTTGAAATAGCTGCTAAAGAAAGAAAAGAGAGATGTCTTTAGGTGACTCTCTTTGACTCCTCTTTTGTCTCTTTTTTCACACTTTTGTGAACAAATAATCAAATAACGAGACTGACACAGTGACACAAAACACCTACAAACACGTGTCTTCTCTATCACTCCCTCCCTCTTCCCTATAATTTCCATTCAAACATTTATCACATATTACGACCAGCTTTACCAGTTTTGCTTCTTTCTTTTTTTTTTTGCATTCAAAGATTTATCAATATGAGAAAATGACTAAAATGACTAAAATGATGAAACTAAAATCAGTTTCGTTAATTCCGTTGTTCTTACAAATCACTTTTATTTCTGTAAAGATAACATATTATCATTGAAATTTTTTTCCGTTATTTATTCTTTTCATGAATAGAAATGTTATCCTATATACGATCGAAAAAATACTATATTAATAATTTTAACCTATTCAATTTTGTGCCAGAAACCAGCCAAAATTCGACAGAAACTGACAAACTCAAATTTCATTTCCAGAAATATATTTTCAGACAAAAATTCATTTCTCATTCAAACTAAAGGCAAAATGTATAATCTCTTAATATATTTTATAAACAATAAAAACTTAAAACCCAATAAAAACCAAGTTGCCAAAATAGAAGGAAAAAGAAAATAAGAAAACTCCTTATTTCGTCAAAAAAAAACAAAAGAATGCAGAAAGTTTATCTATAGACTATATAGGTGGTCGTTCAAACTACAGTTTATTTGAATGGTTATTTAACATTATTCGAAAGATACCAACGTTTATGTATGTACGAAAGCAACTGTTGTTTTTTTTCTCCTAAACAAAAGCAACTTGTTATTTTCATGCAAAAACAACATTTTAAACGTAGTTGGCGTTC